TGATCCACCCGCCTCGGCCTCCCAAAGTGCTGGGATTACAGGTGTGAGCCACCGCGCCCGGCTAAACTTCCTTTTTTTAAGACTGTATTTTGGGTTTAATTTTCATTTCATTTACTTATTTGTTTTTATTTTGTTTGTTTGTTTATTTGAGACTATGACTCACTCTGTCGCCCAGGCTGGAGTGCAGTGGCAAAATCTCGGCTCACTGTAACCTCTGCCTCCTGGCTTCAGGCAGTTCTCCCCACTCAGCCTCCAGAGTAGCTGGGACTACAGGCGTGTGCCCCACTGAAAATGAGCCTGGCTTATTTTTGTATTTTTAGTAGAGCAGGGTTTCACCATGTTGGCCAGGCTGGTCTGGAACTTCTGACCTCAGGTGATCCATCAGGCTCGGCCTCCCAAACTGCTGAGATTACAGGTGTGAGCCACCACACCCAGCCATAGCAACCCTTTTAAAGTAGATACTTGGCTAACATCTGTAATCCCAGAACTTTGGTAGGCCAAAGCAGGAGGGTTGGTTGAAACTAGGAGTCAGAGACCAGCTTGGGCCACATGGAAAGACCCCATCTCTGTAAAAACAAATAAATAAACAATAACAACAACAAAAAGCCAGGCAGGGTGGTGCCTGTCTGTAGTTCCAGCTACTTGGGAAAAAGAGTCAGGAGAATCATTTGGGCCCAGGAGTTCCAGGATAAAGCAAGCTATCATCACCCCACTAAATTCCAGCCTGGGGAACAGAGCAAGACCCTGTTTCAATAAATAAATACATGAATTTATTTTTTTTTAATAATTTTTTTGAGACGGAGTCTCATTTTGTCACCCAGGCGGGAGTGCAGTGGCACCACGCCTGGCTAATTTTTGTATTTTTAGTAGAGACGGGGTTTCACCATATTGGCCACGCTGGTATCAAACTTCTGACCTCAGGTGATCTGCCTTCCTTGGCCCCACAAAGTGCTGGGATTACAGGTGTGAGCCACCACACCCAGCCAAAAAATTTTAAAAAATAAAATGGATACTATTATGTCAGCTGTAAAGGATACTAAGATTCTAAGAGGCTGAAAGAATAAAAAATAGGACAACTAGAAAATAATGCAATCGGCCGGGCGCGGTGGCTCAAGCCTGTAATCCCAGCACTTTGGGAGGCCGAGGCGGGTGGATCACGAGGTCAAGAGATCGAGACCATCCTGGTCAACATGGTGAAACCCCGTCTCCACTAAAAATACAAAAAATTAGCTGGGCATAGTGGCGCGTGCCTGTAATCCCAGCTACTCAGGAGGCTGAGGCAGGAGAATTGCCTGAACCCAGGAGGCGGAGGTTGCGGTGAGCCGAGATCGCGCCATTGCACTCCAGCCTGGGTAACATGAGTGAAACTCCGTCTCAAAAAAAAAAAAAAAAAAAAAAGAAAATAATGCAACCTAATTCAAATCCTACTGTTGGTTCTTCTGACACTAAAACTCATGCTCAAGGATGAAAGACAAGTCATAGGCTAGGAAATAATATCTACAACACATATTATAAAGGTTTAAGGTTTCTAACATGCAAGGATACCACCAAACTAGATTTCAGAGAAACAAATTGGAACACACTTTAAAAAGAAATAGAGAATATGATGAAGCAATTCACTGAGGAGAAAATGCAAATGCCCAATAAAGATTTGAAGAGATGCTGAACTTCATTAAGCGTTAGGGAAATGCAAATTAAAGTAATTAGAGGCTGGGTGTGGTGGCTCATGCCTGTAATCCCAGCACTTTGGGAGGCCGAGGCGGGTGGATCACCTGGGGTCAGGAGATCAAGACCAGCCTGGTCAACATGGTGAAACCCCATCTCTAAATAAATAAATAAAGTAATTAGATGTTATTTCTCACCATCATCTTGACAAGTTTAAAAGAGTGGTAACATTCCATGCCAGTTACAAAGAAAAGGCCAGTTTCTTGCACTTGGTGAAAGTCTAAATTGTTACAACCTTTTTCAGAAGAAATCTGATACAATATCAATCAAATACAATTGTTTGAGGCAGGGTCTTGCCGTGTTGCCCAGGGTGGAGTGCAGTGGTGCTATTATAGTTCACTGTAGCCTCAGCCTCCCATGATCAAGCAGTCTACCTACCTCAGCCTTCCAACTAGCTGGGACTATTGGCATGTGCCACCACGCCCAGCTAATTTTGTGTTTGTTTGTTTTATTTTTATTTATTTTTATTTTTATTTTTATTATTTTTTAAGAGGCAGAGTCTTGCTATGTTGCCCAGGCTGGAGTGCAGTGGTTATTCACAGTCGAGATCCCACTACTGATCAGTACCAGAGTTTTGACTTGCTCAGTTTCTGACCTGGGCCAGTTTATCCCTCCTTAGGCAACCTGGTGGTCCCCTACTCCTGGGAGGTCACCATATTGATGCTGAACTTAGTGCGGTCACCCAATCAGCATAGTGCCCTACAGCCCAGAACTCCTGGACTCAAGCAATCCTCCAGCCTCTGCCTCCCAAGTAACTGGGACTACAGGCACTCGCCACCGCGTCCGGCTGTTTGTTTTATTTTTTTATTAGAGGTGAGGTCTTGCTGGTTGCCCAAGCTGGTCTTGAACTTCTGACCCCAGGTGTCCTCCCACCTCAGCCTTGAAAAGTGCTGGGATGCCAGGCCTGAACCACGATGGCTGGCCTGATACAATATTAATAAAAACTGTAAAACCATGTCTTCTGTTTTACCCTATTTATCACTTAATTGGGATACAGCTTCAACAAAAAAACGCAAAAGTGCATATAGTCAAAGACATTTATTGTAGCCTTGCTTATGCTGGAAAAATAAGAACTGCTTATCAGTAGTTCCCACTTCAGTAAATTAAAATATTCCCATATTTTGTAACAAAAACCCGTAATAAAATTTGAGAACAGTAGCTAGGCACAGTGGCTGACGCCTGTAGTCTCGGCACTTTGGGAAGCTGAGTCAGGCAGGTCACGAGGTCAAGATATGAGACCATCCTGGCCAACATGGTGAAACCCTATCTCTACTAAAAATAAAAAATTAGCTAGGCGTGGTGGCGTGCACCTGTAGTCCCATCTACTTGGGAGGCTGAGGCAGGAGAATCACTTGAACCCCGGAGGCGGAGGTTGCAGTGAGCTGAAATTGCACCACTGCATTGCAGCCTGGCAACAGAGAAAGATTCTGTCTCAAAACAAAAAAACAAAAAACATCGAGAACAGTAAAATAATTTTCCATATCAAGTAAAGACCCTAATCACTCCTTGCTCTTTTTCCTTATAGATTATTTTGAATATATTTATGTTTTACAGAAGTAGTGCTACATATCATATTTAAAAATTATTAATAGCCTATGAAAATTCCATATGTTAATTTGACAAACTATAAGTATTTGGCAAAGCAAATGTATGTCAATTCTTGGCAACATTAAAATGGTGTGAAAATTAATTGGATCTTGAAATTATGGTATATAAGTAAATTCATTGGCAAAAATTTTTAAACCTTTTTTATAGGTAGGACATAGTGGCTCACCCCTGTAATCCCAGCCCTTTGGGAGGCTGAGGCAGGTGGATCACTTAAGGCCAGGAGTTTCAGACCAGCCTGGCCCGCATAGTGAAATCCCATCTCTACTAAAAACACAAAAAATAAGCTGGACATAGTGGTACATGCCTGTCATCCCAGCTACTTGAGAGGCTGAGGCATGAGAATTACTTGAACCCAGGAGGCAGAGGTTGCAGTGAGCTGAGATGGTGCCACTGCACTCCAGCCTGGGAGACAGAGCAAGACTCCCTCTCAAAAAAAAAAAATAGTTAAATAACCTTCCTCCATCACGTATCAATACAATGTGGGTAGGATAAAGTGGTGTGTTCTCTAAAAGATATATTTTTTCTAATTTTTTTATTGATAATTAATAGTCATACATACTCTAAAAGATATTTGATTGTTTTACAATATGCCTCTCAGTCTCTGGTTATTGTAATTTAAGAAAAAATTACAATAGCCAAGAATACAGAAATTGAGAATATAAACACATTCTTCTACTACAATCTTTCTCACTCCTTTAAGGTTTTCTCATGTCCACTGCAAGCAGTTTCTTTCTTTTTCTTTTTTTGAGATGGAGTTTCGCTCTTGTTGCCCAGGCTGGACTGCAATGGCATGATCTTGGCTCACTGTAACCTACACCTCCCAGGTTCAAGCCATTCTCCTGCCTCAGCCTCCCCAGAAGCTGGGATTACAGGTGTGCACCACCACACACCTGGCTAATTTTTTGTGTTTTAGTAGAGACAGGGTTTCTCCATGTTGGTCAGGCTGGTCTTGAACTCCTGACTTCAGGTGATCTGCCTGCCTCAGCCTCCCAAAATGCCAGGATTACAGGCGTGAGCCACCAAGCAGTTTCTTTAATGCTGTTGGGATGCCGTTTGTGGGCAAAGCTAGATTTGGGACAAGTTGCCAAGCTCTGCTAGGAAGTCCATCCTCAGGGGGAAGTTTCTTCTCACCTCCAGGATCCCCTGTGCTTCCTCGGTTGACTCAGGACTTCATATGCAGCCTGGATCTCCAGGAAGTGCTTCTGTGCCTCCTCTGTCTGGTCCAGGTTGTGGTCTGGGTGCCAGATCTTCACTAGCTCCCGATAACTCTGATGTATTTCTTCATTTGTTGCCCCTTCTGGGAGGCCCAAAACCTTATGGAAACAGAAGATGACAAATCAGAATATTCCACGTTGTCAGAGTACCTGGGCCTTTCCTTGCACCTTTGCTAAATCAGACTATCATATCTCTAGAATTGGCTTTTACTTGCCCATGGGAAAGCTCTGCTTAGAATCACAGAGTAATAATAAGAAAAAAATTATTTTAGAAAAAATAAAAGCTCGTAGCAGCTTTATTTATAATAACCCCAAACCAGAAGCATCCCAAATGTTTATTCACAGTGGAGTATATCTATAACTGTGTTTATATATTATAAACTGTGGTATAATGGTACAATGGGATAACTTACAACAGTGAAAACAATTTACAATTGCAAGTAACAAGAGCAATAAATCTCATAAACATCACATTAAATGAAAGATGAAAGATGCCAAATACAAGTCCAGGCATGGTGGCTCACACCTGTAATCCCAGCACTTTGAGAGGCTGAGGCAGATAGA